ATCAACTCTAAGGCGGTCCTGCAACCGGCTGCCGACCAGTAGAAAGGACGTAAGAAAATCATCCCTCGCGAATCAGGAAAGGAACACACGAAGTTAACGGACCACGGTCACTTCACCATTGCTAGCAACACCAGCGGAACACGTCGGCGTTCATTCATGCTCCCAGTCCAGCATCCTCCAGAATCGTGCACCTCTCCCTCTACAGCATCCGAACAGCCACTGAACGAAGCCGCAGGAATTAAGGAAAACGGGCACCGACACCGCATGGGCCACGCTCTATCCGGTCGAACGAAAGGCGAGAGCAGCGCGGCCAAATGGCGAGGGGACAGGCCGAACAGTCCGGGACAATGGGAGTGTCACTTGCGATGGACAGGTCAGACGCAGTAGGCGGAGAGAGCCAGCCACGAGTGTCTGGGGTACGTTCGAGGCGTCCAGATCGTGACCAGCCAGTCGGCGCCGACGTTCGCGTACCGACACACGAAGTCACGAGATGGAGGAATTCGCTACCGCGCACCACTCATCATAGAATGCTGAAACCAGCAAAAGCATCCAATCTTGTGTAACGCTCATCCTCATTCACGTTCGCACATACCGCAAAAGCCAGCGGATCCTGGCTCCATATAGAGAGGGAATACGGGGTTTGGGACGCCAAGATCTCTCCTAGACCTCATGGTCGCCCCCAGCTGATACAGAAGCTGTCGCCCATTTCAAGCAATTGAGTAACCTCTCATCGAGCGATGCGATGACGCGGGCGAATGGCATTCACAGATTCAGCGAGCCGCTCATTTCCATCGCTGGCGTTCATAATGACGGAGCAGCAGTCATGGAACCGGTGACGGGTGCGGATTTCTGACTGAAGGATGACGGATGGGGGCGCCGCGCTGTCTGCCAGCAAACCACAGCAACGGTGGCAGGATCGCAGTGATTTTCATTTCATGCGCAACATAATCACTTGCTGCTTCTAAACTATGCACCATACGGTGTCGGTCACACATCCAAAACTGCGGGGGCACAACATCTCAACGGCCTTGTCGGTGAACACAGAACTGACTGGCCGCCGGTCAAATCAGTGACGTCATCGGACTGATTGGCGTGACGTCAGTGTCACACTGGGTTGGTGACGCTACAGTCTAGCTGTCAGGGCGGCGAGAGTCACCCAGCGCGGGCCCCGGGCCGGCATACCGCCCCTGGCTGGCGCCACCGCCAGCTCTCTTTTAGAAAACTGACCGGGCGGGTCCCTCTGTGCCTGTGCGCTGTGGAACTGTGGGCTCTAGAGTTCTGCACGGCTGCAATTTTCCACAGCCTAGCCGCCCCGCAGCCATGGCTCCACAGCCACAGCCGCCCACAGCCATGGCAAACTGTGGGCAGCCGGCCGTCAGCCGGCCGTGGATACTTTCAATGACATGCAACCAAATAGTATATAATAAGTTGTTTTTAGTTGAAACATATAGCCAAAAGCACATTGCAATGGGCTATAGATTCTCAAGCTCATGAAGCATCATAGGTTAAGTAGTTGTGTATCTGGCTTTAGGCCGAAGGCCTGAAGCCTGATGCGCAACGCATGCCTACACAAGCCCTTGCAAGGGGTTAAGAAAGATGGGTAGGTAGGTACCTACATCAACAGAAAACATATACAACGAACCAGAATAGAAGCACTAGCAGTGTAGACATCTAATGCCAAATCCTGAAGCATGGTTGTGGGACAGAACAACAGAAACTGATGCTTTTCATTATCAATGTTAGGTATGGAAAATGAAACTGAAGTTGATGGACTGTCAAACAGTGATTGTCTAGTCAAAACTCTTGCTTCTTTCTTACCTTGCATATTTTCTGGGGTGTGATATGCCAGGCTTGAAGCAGCCTTCTGAGCAAGTCTCAAACTAATTTGATATGCAAGGCATCAAAACACTAATGAGAATCCAAGAAAGAAAAACATTCATCTATTTTTTTTCCAAATAATGATCTTCGCTCAAATCCCTAAGGACGTGCGAGCCACAATTGCCTCATTCAATCAATAATTTTACTTGAGTTTTTAATGACGTCAATAGCAAAATAGTGGCAATAAATTGTTTTGTGTCACTATAAACAGCCAAACAAATTATAATTGATAAATAATAATGCTATACAATTAAAAACTTGCCCTCAAACAAAGAGTAAGTATCAAATTTTTACATTTTCAGAAGAAGACGTCATTTTATTTGTAAAGTCAACAGCTCGCGTAAGAAATATTGTGTTCAGGGTTTTCACCGTCATGTGAATTACGTGTTCAGGGTTTTCACCATCATGTGAATTAACCGTAAGTAAGGTTCATGCTCACTTATAATCTGATTCCATTGGCTTCGTTGATCAGCATTTTCTGTTAGCGGTCACTCACACACCAGTTAGAACATAAAGCGCCCGTTTTATATTATGTAATTGGACTTGCCGAAAATCCAGAAATACGTCTAAGAGTTATTTTAGATAATATTTTATGAAGCCTTTACTGCCTTTACCTAGGCGTGATTTCTTTTTCTATTACCTGAAAGAATTATTGAACGCTCGTTTTCAATAGCTGTAAGGTGCTCTCCTTATGACCAGGTGAGATTGATTTGAGAGGGATGTGACAATGCAACATGTTGCATTTTCTGAAACTGTCAAGCTCATGATGATGAAGGAACAATTGGTGCCTATAATCAGTATTCTGTACCAGAGTGCAAACTCCCCTACAGCAAATGGTAAAACCATTACAGGTTTTCAAAGGCTTCACCACTTTCAATGTTGCTGGGCATCCTTTGCATGATTTTTACAGGCTAGACTGCTTATCACTAAGATTAAGGATTTAAAATTTTATATTTGAGTGCTTAAGATTGAGTTTGAAATCTCACAGCCGTGGCCACAGCCGTAGCCGTGTTCTTGGAGATATTTGCAGCCGCCCCGGCCCACAGCCGTGGGGCTGCAGCCAGCCGCGGCTGCAGCCGGCCGGTGCAGACCTCTAGTGGGCTCTATCTCTTCGCCTCAGTACAGGCTACAGCATTATAAACCACCTCAGACTTGGACGCAGGTTCAATCTAAAGATGGACTCGATGGGTATTGGTCAGCCATTACGTCTCTCCGAGTCGCCGTCCCGCGGTGCGGGGCCGCACGGCCCAGCTTTCACCTAGCACTCACTGGGCATCGATGACCGAGCGGCACCAGAGCGGGCCCCAGCTCACAGCTGCCACCAGGCCACCCCTCCCAAACAGAGCACCACCCCTCCCCCTCCCTCCTCCGCGAGCGAGCTGGCCCCAGTTTACAGCACTACAGCAGCTACCACAGCCGACCTTATCGTGCAGACCTGTTTGGTGACCAGTGACCACGCCCAGCTCCATGTGGAGGGTGAAGGGGCCGCGGACACGCCCTAGCACGGAGCCGTCACGAACAGCTTGCCGCCGTGTCTTAAGTATCGCCGGTAATGTCACCGTAATTGTCAGCTCAGCAGCAACCACAGCGAGGAGCACACACTCATGAGTCCACCGACCAACCACCAAACACTTAGCCTCCTGACCGAGGAGTAGCTGCTCGGGACAGCTCAGGGCACATGACTGTGTCAGATCAGACCGGGTGATTGACAAATATAAACATTTAATGGCGCTGGTAATGGTATCATTCGGTATGCCACAAATGCCGTGAATAGCAAAGACACGCCCGTTTGACCTTGCCCCAGTGTCTCGGAATAGTTTCAGCTCGGCTCACAAGGTCGTGAGTTGGACACAGCAGCCTGACCTCCACCGGCCGGCCGGCCAAATACCCCGAGCACGCAAGGCCACCACATACCATACTGGCCGAGTTTTCCTCCGTCCCGGGCCCGAGAGGCGACAGAGAGTTGAGGAGACAGTTTAGAAACTCAAATTTGCCATTGCTTACTGACCTTCTCTTCATGTTGGTCAAACCGAGGAGTTTTAGAGCTAACCTTAGCTGGTGCACCATTATGCGTAATGCGTATGTGTATCATGTGTTTGTTGCGTACGACTGAGCTATAGATAACGCTCCCCCCGCACACACATGCATACATTACAAACACAACGGTGCCGAGCGGGACCGGGTCACCGCCTGACCACGCCCTCACGGCTTCTGGCCAACCGTCGGCACACCAGCCGAGGGGGCCGGGCCACTACCGTGCAGTGGAGCGGGAAGGTCACGGCGGTCTAATGAACTCGGCGTGTGGACTGAAGCCAGTCCCTACCCAAGCGCCGGACAAGTGACGGGCGCAGCGCAGACGGCCGCTTTGCTGACCGCCATAGTCATGGCCCAACACCGTAGTTAAATAGCAAGTTCAGCTACATTATTAGCACTAGCAATTATGCGTAGAAGTCGAGCATGAGCTAATTTGATTACACATTAGTGGTCTACGGTGCTCTAACAGCCATAATCAGCGCACCTATGGCGGTGCCGGTAGTTGGCCGGTGACGAAAATAGAGCCACAATCTGCCCGCCAATCTCAATTACACCACCGCGTCCTTGGTACGCTGTCGATCAAACTGCAATCCTCGTTTTCTCTCTGATGCAATATGCACGCACATTCACTGATAGCACGGCAGTGACGTCACATGACTGGGTACGATTGTACCCGGCTATCGGTGCGGCAACCGGTAGTGAAGTTTCACCGGGCGACTCGGCCAGGGAGAATCATTTGTAATTGGTAGCTGCAGTGCGGTAGGTAGCTGCACCGGAACGAGGCGAGGCTATTTCGATAATGCAGCCAACAGGTCACAGTAGAATGCACGTAGGTGGTTTGAGCTATGCAAATCTATCGCTATAGTTTGCCACTCGAAACTCTTCGAAGTTGTTATCCATCCTACAATAATATCTTTGTCATAGAGAGACCATGCGGTTGCCTGTTATGCGGACCATCCGACTGTCTAAGGGATGCAGTCCGCGGGGACGCTCCCAGTCCCACCATTGCACATGGTCAGTCCATTCGCCCGTAGGTTCTGACTGCCCTGCCCACTCCCCATTCCCTTTTCCCCATCGCATCAACTCACCGACTTGTTTGACGAGGATGAGCAGGCTCTGATGATCGAGCGCCGTCTGCTGGTAGTCGGGGAACGACATGGCCGAGTCGGGCGGGGGATCCGACAGGATCACACTGACCGACGACCGCATCGTGACCGGTCACCGGCGGCCTGCGGGGCACAGATAGGTCACAGAGGTCAGAGAGAGGTCACAGAGGTCAGAGGTCATACATCACAGCACTGTAACCAGTCACCGGCGGCCTGCGGGCACAGAGAGGTCACAGAGGTCAGAGAGGTCACATACTGACCGACGAACGCATCGTGACCGGTCACCGGCAGCCTGCGGGGCATAGAGAGGTCATAGGTCAGAAGGAGGGTCACACACTGACCGACCACACTGACAAGAGGGCACACTAGCGGTCACCGGCAGCGGCTAGGTCTTTACGCGAAGATCTCCGGACCGTGAAACTGCGCTCTATCCGGCTGAAAGTGACAGCTGCCTGCCGACAATGGATGAAGGCACGGCCGTTTTCCTTTCATCGAGCTGGACAGCTGGGCTCGGTTACAGCCCAGTGCCCGTGGCTCCCCGTCCTAAACTCTCGGACCAATTCACGACGGTGCACCGACTGTTAGAGTAACTCATTTCACAATTCAGCAGCGCCACATATCCGGCAGGCGGTTCATGCAGGGCACCCATCACCTAACGTCCGTGATTCCTCAATCCAAGCGACCATACAACCCTTAGACACGGACAGTTTCAGCGGATAAAGCTGACGCGAGATGACACTAACCCGATGGTCTCTGCGATCAATATATTAGCTTCGCGATTCGGTGCAAGACAGCGAATGTACGCAAAGCACATGAATTGCTCCTTTCTCTTTAGTGCATCGGCCCCAGCAGAAGACGGCGGGTCCAAAGGCTACGCCCGGCGCGGAGCCCAATTAGCATTATCCCCGCTGGGTACGGGCCACGCAAGGCCCAAAGTCTGTGCCCCGAGCCTGTGCCCGGAGTCTTCCAGGAAACCGTGCTCGGAGCCTGGCCAGCAGCCTAGGTCCTGAGTACATATGTGCCCCAGCATGTGCCCAGAGTCTGCGCCCGCGGACCATGCCCCGCTCTGCCACACTCCAGTGCAGCCGAGAGTGAACGGACAAAACAGCCGGCGGCGAGAGCGGAAACCGGCAGAAAATCGGAAAATCAACCATATGATGCGAATGAAAGGGAGAGAGAAAACAGGTGGGCGAGGGGAAGCGGTCACGCAAGGCTTAAAAAAACACACACACACAAAAAGAACAGCCAATCTGGCTTGGGCTGCTGCAGAGCTTGCTCAGAGCTGCAGCCTCGGTGGCGAAAGGCGTGTCGCTGCGTTTGAAGCCGCCGCGCCGGTCTCTCGCGGTTTGGTGACTTTCCCGTATCGGACGGGAAACCGGCAGGAAAGGGCAGCAGATGGCGGCTCCGATAAGAACGCCACAGAGCTATTTCGAAGGAGCCGCAACTACCAATATTAGCAACGATCGGGCCGGAAAATGTGTACTCACGAACGCGGAAAAGGAACGGGCGTGTCTAAAATCCACAGTTGGATTATATGATTAGGGGCGAGTGCCACTGCGGTTTGACTCAAATGTGAAAACAAAACCGAACATCGCACAGGCAATAGCCGAGGAAAGCTACAAAATATCGAAATTGCAAGCTAGAAGCGTGCCATATCGCGCACTTTACCACTGCCGCAACCATGTTTTTAAATCTAAACGGGATCCTACGTAGTTTTGCGCTGCAGACTCGTTCCCTCCTGGATCGCGCATCATCAGTATTCAGCAGGAAAACCCTCGGCTCGGTTCAGCGGCGGCGGCGCGGCGGTGCAGGTCTGGCAGCGGCGCGGGCATAGCGCCGTTGCGTCACAGGGACCACATTCCATCGTGCACATTCCCGCCGTGCCGGTCGCCGCCATCCAGCTGGCTAGCCGGGCGAGCGGGCAGGCAGGCGGGTAAGCGCGGGTAGGCAAGCAGGCAATCGAGCTGGCTAGGCAGGCAGGCTGACGGGTGACTGGGCAGCAGGTTGACAGGCAGCCAGGCGAGCAGGCAGGCAAGCAGATAGGCGGGTAGGCATAGAGCTAAGACGACAGACAGATAGGCATAGAGCTAAGCTGACAGGCAGGTAGGCATAGAGTTGAACTGACTGGCAGACAGGTAAACGGGCAGGCGGGCAGGCAAGCGCAGATGATTAGGCAAGCAGACAGTCGAGCCAGTCGAACGCGGCAGCGCGGCGGTGTCCCTGACGGTCCGAGTTTCACCTTCTGCATTGAGCTCGGACCAGTCTGCACCCCCAACTAAGCGCCCGCCCGTCCCAGCCCGGGGCGGCGGGGAAAGAGACAGCCGTGCAGCCGAGCTTGTGCAGCGGGCGGATACACCGTGCCTACACAGGAGTCGTGACACCGCCACCGCGTGTGACATTGCGAGGTGAGAGCGACAGTGAGAGTCCCAGCCGCCATTGTAATCGTGGGTGACTTTGAGCGGGTGCAGTGGAATGGCCTCACTGCCGGGTGCCGGTAAATCACGAGTGACTATGACGAGAGGTAACGGCGTAATGACCTCACTTCCTGGTCCTGCCAGCCGTTCATCCAATCAACGTGAAGTTAGGTCAGCATTGAACTCTGCCTAAACACTTGCAGACTGGGCACTAGCATTGCTCATAGCATCCATGCTAGACAAGAAATGGGAGTGTAATGGAACTGAGGCATCTGATGACGACATTCAGGGAATTCTGAGCTGGCCGCGGATGCGTTTCACCGCCGGCAGACCGACCAGCCGCCAGATATCGCTTCGACGTAACAATGGCGCGCCGGAAATTGGCGCCATTCTCGATGTGATCGTACCGCAGCACGTGACCGGAACCGCTTGGAACGCACAGTAGGGTGTGTCACTAATCGCAATGCAAGGTGCTCCATCGATTTTATTGTGCTCCACTCATGTGGAAAGGGCGTGGCATTGTTAATTTCCCGCAAATTTTAACCCCCAGGCGGCGCCGAGCGAGAGAAGTTTGCCCTATCTCACAACATAGGCGACCCTAGCGCCCCTGGCGGCTGTTTGCGAAACTAACAGGCCGTTGACTGTATGGGCTTATCCCTGCTTTCTGTAAGCGCGTCTAGGGACAAATAATAGTATGGGCAGATTGCAGAGAGTGCAAGCTAATGACGAATACCTATAATGAATACAATATATTGTCACAGGGGCCCAGGAACATTCTTCAAGTTGGGGTGCAAGCCCAAAATACCTGACATGACGCATATGAAATAGTAGCGTAGTCAGGGGGTCCCAGGAGGCACGTGCCATCTAGTCCCCCCCCCCTATCGCATTCAGAGGACCCCTCGGGTCGGAGGGGCTCTGTGGCACCAGTTTACCGCTCAGGGTCTATGCTGGCCATATTTCGATTCAGAAAGAATAGGGCTCGTAACAGCACCTCGTGAGTCCAAAGAAGCCTCACTAAATTGTCCATGAGGGTTACACGCCGGCTTCTGAAGGCTACTGGCGGCCTCTGAGGGCCCTTTACCGGCCTCTTATGGCCGCTAGCGTGCCTCTGAGAGTCCTTGCCGGCCCAAGAGGGGCCATATCTAGGGCCTTACGCCAACCTGTAATCAGTAATGGCCTCACACCAATGTCTCAGACGGCCCCATTACGACGACTGTGAGACTGAGGGCCCTCACTGGTGCTTCTGAGAGCCCACCCGGCCATAAAGACCCCTGCGGTACCAACTGACCTCTGAGGGTCCACGCTGACTATATTTCAGCTGAGAAAGACCTCACAGGTCTCGTAAGAGCACCTCATGAGCCCCTAAGTAGCCACACTAAGATCTCCGTCAGGGTCTACGCCGGCTTCTGAGGATCCCATAACGGAGACCGTGAGGGCCCTCAGCAGGGCCTCTGAGGGTTCACAACCAGCACCTCTGAGAGACCCACACCAGTGGTTCTAAGGGCCCATAAGGACACCACTGAGGGTCCCCCAAGCCAGTGCCACACCATTTATGCAACCCTATATTGGTGGCTCTGAGGTACCCACACCTGCGCCTGTGAGGGTTCGGCAAAAGCATATCTGACGGCCACCTACCTGCAACTCTGAGGTCCCTACATCAGAGACTGAGGGCCGCACTGGCGTCTCAGAGTACCTTGTCGGTATCTAAGGACCCCACAGGGCTTCTGAAGATGCCGCCGGCCTCTGTGGGCCCCTTGCCGGTCTGAGGTCCCCCTCCCCGGTCGTTGAGGGCCCCCTGCCGACTTTTAAAGGGTTCGCACCAGCAGCTCTAAGGGCCACACACCCACATGTAACGGACCCACACCAGTGTCTGTGAGGGTCCACAACGGCGTCTGTATTCTGTGAGGACCCTCACCGGTGCTTATGAGGGATTCACACTAGCACCTCTGTGGGGCCACACGGGCGTATGTGAGGACCCCACACCAGTGCCTCTAAAGGCCCCTAATTGGAGGCTCTGAAGGCCCTGCATCGGTGATACTGAGGGTCCTACCAAAGGCACAACACAAGCCATTAGTCTCCTTCTGAGTCCCACACGCCGCCCTCCCACCATAGGAGGCGGAACGGGGAGGGCACCGGGGCACCGTGCCCCCTCTGATTTGGGCATTTTAACATTAGCCCTATGGGCGTTGCATGGAAAGAATGGGACCAAAAGTCGGCAGTGTCCCCCCCCCTCCACTTAATTGAAGGTGTTCCGCCGCTACTGCCTCCCACCGGAGCGAGTAAACCTGTATCAATCAACGACTTTACCACCGTTGTACGTCATAATGTTCTCATCACGCCAAATCAAATACCATCCGGAACCAAAATGGTCCAGTATAAAATCTGACCTACCAAAGTTATGATCAAGTTCAGATAAAATCAAAGTGGGATGATAATAGCAGGTGTTCTTAAATCGATGCCGAGTCAGCAGAAACCATTCACTTCACATGCAAGAGAAATACCTTGTGCTGATGTTTATATAAAAACAGACATGTAGGACAGGTCCATAAAAGGGTCCATAAAAAGTCCATAAAAAATAAAGAGATCCTTCATCGTTGCATCAATGTTGAGGGGGCGGCGCCCACTCGGCTCTCAAGTTGGAGGGGGGGGGGGCAAGCGCCCCCACTGCCCCCCCGCCTGTTCCCCGGGGTCTATGCAGTGAACGACGCT